GCTGATGTTGCATGTGGCTTTTCTGCAAGGATCGGGAAATATCTGAGTCATCACAATCCATTTGTTAAATTTTATAGATGTTGCACGCCTTATGTTTAAAAAATAGTTTGAAAAATAGAATTCTCTAGTGCAGCCTAGTTAGGTCTTTTGCAAAGGCTTTTAAAGCGCCAGATGCGGCTCACAAATAGCAGAGACTGGTGCTACAGATTATTTAAATGTGTATGACATCATCAGTGGATAATTTAAAAACCCCACTTACTATGTAGATATATTCAGTATCTAGTAGAAGCCTTACATACGTGAGAAATCATACTTTTTTCTGCTTTAAGTCATCTCACCTGCGTTATGCTGGTTCTCGGTGGAACAGCAAATCTGATTATGATTTGGAATCTCTCCAGAAAGCGCCTCTTCAACTAGCCTCTGTGATTTACAGGAACAGCCTTGTGACGCTTGTTCAGCCTTTTGGAGCTTTCTGCTTCTTCGCTGGTCGTTCCAGGGCTAACAGAATTTCAGATACTTCTTAGCAATTAGGCTAGGCACAGTCACTTTCTGTGTAAAACTGCCTGAGCAGGTCCTCCGGTAAACAGTAATAATGTTCTTGTGGCTCAGTGGAGTTTGGCAGGAGAATTAAGATGGACCTCAGTTCTGCAAATAGGTATGCAGTTAAACTCCACAGATCTGCTCAGGTGCTTGGTTAAGTTTCTACATACATAGGTTCAACTGTGAATGTATTTGTCTGTTTATGGTTTCCACTGCAGTCTACACATCCTTTGCTCTGGAAAATCGGAATTTAAGTACACTGAATGCTAAAGCATTTCTATCTCTTATTGCATAAATGTTCCAACACTAGATGGATTCATGCTGATTTGTGCCATTTCTTTTTTAGACGTTTATTTTCAAACTACTTTTATTCCTGAATGCTCAGGGTTTTTAAGAAAGAGGAAAGAGAGCTCAACTAAAGATTTCATACAAATCCAGAGTCACCTTTGTGAGAATCTTTCCAAATAAATCAGAGATTTGTACAAAGTTGACAATTACTTTTTTCATGTGGGGTCAATATTGATTTTATGCTGCATGAAACATCCTGCTAAGTCTTAGTGCAAAATAAACCACGCTAACCTCTTGACCCTCTCCCCGACAACCTCATCATTTTCTGGCTGAACGTGTCTGGTCCCCCTGCAGCTATAGCCGTAAACACCAATGTATCTTTCAAAATCATTTCTTGAGCTTTTTCTCTTCATTTCAGAGAGCATAGAGAAAGTGCCATGTCTCTGTCTGCACACAGACATACCCTTGCATTTCCAACCAGTAGTTTGCTTTTAAAAAAAAAAAAAAAAGGTAATTAGCATTGTGTATGTAGTTAATCGATTTAAAATAAAATGCCGCTGCTGCTAGTAAAAGGTCATGCTAGGTTTTGTTATGGCTTTGAGAACCCCAAGGTTTTAGCGAAAGCCCTTTGTGAGAAGGGATATTGTCTTTGTATGTAGCCAGTGACAAAAGAGGAGCAAGGGATGCAGTTTCTACAAATGATACTGTAAATTTTATTATCATGTTTTTATTTATATCGTGGTTTTGCTGTGTTGATTTTAAGAAAGTAGCCTTTCAAATGAGGCAATGTGAGGAGACAGGGTGTGTTGTCTTAAGCACAGGAGAAGGAGCTGATGTGCCGAATGGATGAGGATAGGAACCTGATCTCTGGCTTGCTAGTCCACCACTCTCTTTATTACATGATCCTGCTTCCTAAGCAGACAGATTACTTCATATTTTTATTTATTAATGACTTACTAGACAGCTCCTCCCCTAAAGCCTCATCTCTTCTGTTATATTCACAGCCCACACACAACCAGTAACGTGAAGTTGCCAGCTGGCACTCTCACATTAAGTGTGCAAACTGCTAGTACTTTCTAAGTCTTCTGTTGCCCCCTTCTCCCTTTCCATCACAGCTGCTTTGGCTCACCTGCCTGCTACGTGGTGTTCTAGGTTGCACCAGATCCCAAAAATCTTAATTTATCCTGTTTTCCTATCCCATCTCTCTAATCCTTTTGCTTAATGCTCTTGTACTAACTATCCCTTTTAAAAAAAAAAAAAAAAGAAAAGAAAGATGAGGTGACTCCACTTGTAATGTGGCAGTGCTTGTGCTTTTTTTTACTGAAATACTTAGTGGCTCTTTCAGAGCACGGTGCATTTTGGTGTGAATATATGCTCAGTGGTGATTGACACTTTAGTTGAAGGTAGAATTAGAGAAGAGAGGGCTGGGGAGAAAATGAAAGAACTTTGTCTATGAACCTATTAATGTGAAGGTGTGGGTTGGCTTTAATTTCAGGTTTTGCTATCAAGTTCTTGGCACAACAGCTTTTTTTAATTCCTTTTTCAGTTGTCTATATGAGATAGTGATTTTTATCACATCACTAAATATCAGCCCCATTGTTGTTCTCTGTTCTGCTCCCAGAAGTCAGTCATGCTTTGAGGTCTGGGAAAGGGAGTCCAAATGAAATCTCATAATTAAAGGGAAAAAATCCAAAATCACTTACTGCTTTCCAGCCCTGCCAACTACCTTAATCATGATCTGCCTACTAGTTATTCTTGCAGTAGACCGGTGATGCATAGAGCAGCAGTAAATGTCCACTACATGTGGGTTGTGACTGAGTACACGGGTTACAGAACAGGAGGAAAAAATTACAATCTAGAAGAGGAGAAGGAATAAATGAAACACGCTTGAGTAATTTATACATGAATGTATAACTCGAGTGCTTAATCTGCTCTTGGCAAGTGGTGATTGATAACTAATTTTCTCTCTTCCCTCTCCCACACCCTCCCAGCATCTTCAGAAAGGGCATGTGACAGGAATAATAAATCTTGTAATAAATTCACCTCCTTGTTTAGTATTCCGAGCTCTTGAAACTCTGTGCCATCTTCAAGCCTGTTATTTTAGCAGGTTACAATGGAAAGCATAGATTAAAAGTGCCAAGACTGCCTCAGGAGGAAGAAACTAACTGCTCCTAAGATGCTTAAAATACATTGTCACTCACATTATTTTCAAGGACTTCCTGAATTGCTCCCTAACCTGGTTATTCAAGCCCCTTCATGTGCCCCTTTGAAACATCACTTAATCAGCGTTAGAGGCACCTGACTAATCTATGTACTTCATTGCTCCTACAGCTTCAGAACAGCCAGGACTTTGCACGGCGTGATCTCAGGCTTTGGGAGGAGTGTGGATCTAAATCCAAACTGGATCATCTTTACTCTGGGTCTCGAAGCTGCAGCTGTACACTGCTGTTTGAAGGACAGAGCTAGAAGGAAAAGTGGAATTCAGGCTGACATACAAAATGGCTTGGCTGTCATGTTGTAGACCACAAGACTAATCCATTTGAATACTTCTGGCTTTGAAGGGAGAGAGGTGGGTGAGAACAGTAGAAGGTGTCGTGTGTTTTGGACAGCCAGGTGTCTAGTAAACTACTGTGAACTTAGAGGGAATAGAAACTCTTCCTGCTCCTCAGTGGCCTCCCTCTTCCAATCAGAGCAGCAAGTAGGCTATGAGGCTCCCAGAAGGCTGTGCTCACACAGGCCATGGAAAGAAGTTGTCATGTGGTGCCCTGGGACAGAATAGGGAGAGAACCAACAAGAAACTGCAAGTAACTTATTTCCAGGGCCAGTTTTGCAGAATGAATGGTGACTTGGGACATGGATCTTATACGTCCCCAGACCAAGCAGCAAGCTGCTGCAATATTGGTGCGTCCCAGAACCTTAGATGATGACGGGAACTGGGCTTGGGAAGGCACTTTCATGCATTAGCAGATGTGCCAAAACCTCTTTCAGCTCTATTCTGTAAAACCTGTCAAAGCTGGTACGTGACTGTGAACAGAACTAAGGGCTTGTTTGCACCAGGAGGTTGCTCTCAGAAAAGCAGGGTGCAAATTTACAGCACACTGACTCCTTCTTACCAGGTCTCTGTATATGGTGTATGTTACCTTATGTACAGTGAGCATTAAATGTGCAAAGAGCTGGTGCAGTGTAAATAGCGTGCACTGAGTTTCCACCTAGCACTAACTGCCTGTGGTAAACCTCAGTTTACCAAGCAGTTATTTGCTTTTTCTTGCATTTCATCTCTTGACTTTATCACTCGAATTAGAACACAGGTTCTAAAATAGCAGGGATTTGAATCATGCGATCAGCCTGCAAAACGTGTATTGTGCTTTTGTTACAGTAACTGAATTGCTGCTTTTGTCTCTAGTTTCTAAAAGGAGGGGGAGGAGGAGGTTAACAAGTGCAGCAGGTGTAAGTATAACCTAACAGAGTCACCAAGGACTCACCGAGGTTATAAAGGACATCTGGGGAGCATCTGGTCCAACCCCCCTACCCAAAGCAGGGTCAACTAGAGCAGGTTGCCCAGGACCAAATCCAGTTGTTTTTTTGAATATCACTAAGGATGGGAAACTCTGCAACCTTTCTGCGCAACCTGTTCCAGTGTTTGACACCTGTACAGTAAAAAAGTGTGGTTTTGTGTGTTTAAATGGAATTTCCTCTATTTCAGTTTGTGCATGTTGCCTATTGCCCTCTCCTTGGGCACCACAGATATGTCTTGCTTCATCTTTTTTACTGCCTCTCATCAGGTATTTGTTTATGCACATTGATCACATCTCCCCTGAGCCTTCTCTTCTCAAGGCTAAATAATGAAGACTGGCCTTGCAATGACACAGTCCAGCTCCTTCAGCATTCAGAAGTGCATTCCATCAGAGCCCATGGACCACTGTGTGTCCAGTTTGTTTAAACGTTCCCAAACCTGATCCTCTTTCACCAAGGGAAAGTCTTCCTTGCCCCAGACTTTCCTGCTGGTTTCAGGGAGGTGGGATTCCTGAAGTCCAGTCTTACCAGTCTTCAGAGCAATCTGAAAAAGACAGTGAGTGCCTCTGCCGTTTTTGTGTCCTGTGGTGCCAGATCCCCTGCCTTGTTCAGCAACAGATCCACGTTTTCCCTAGTCTTGCTTTTGCTGCAGACGTACCTGTGGAAACCCTTCTTGTTGCCCTTCACGTCCCTCGCCAGTTTCAATTCCACATGGGCTTTGGCTTTCCTGCTCCCATCTCTAGGCGCTCAGACAGTGTCTCTGTATACCTCCTGGGTCACCTGACCCTGTTTCCACCTCTCGTACGCTTCATTTTTACGTTTTAGTCAGGAGCTCCCTGTTCATCCATCCATGTGGGCTTCCTGCCACCTGTGCTTGACTTCCTGCGTGTCGGGATGGCCCGTTCTTGAGCTTGGAGGAGGTGATCCTTGAAAAATCAAGCAGCTCTCCTGCATTCCTCTTCTCCCCAGGGTCATATCCCATGGGGTTCTTCTGAGCAGGTCCCTGAACAGGTCAAAGTGTGCTCTTCTGAAGTCCAGGGTTGTGATCCTACTATTCGCCTCGTTCCCCTCTTTTTAGGATCCTGAACTCCACCATCTCATGGTCACTGCAGCCAGGGCTGGCCCAACCTTCACATCTCTGACCAGCTCTTCCTTATTTGTAAGGATGAGGTTCAGCATTGTATCTCCCTTCCTCGGCTCCTCAGTCGCCTGTGTTAGGAAGTTGTCAGTAATGCGCTCCATGAATCTCCTGGATTGCTGGTGCCCTGCTGATTCACGCTGGCATTCTTAGCCTTTTTTCATGTTTAAGGTATCAGTGACTGCTATTTCTCTGTGCAAAATAGTCCATCATTTTGCATAATTAAACTTTTGCACCCTATCCTGAAATTATGTCCTGTAGAAAGCAGTTTGAGAAGGAAGGCTAAGTGAGGTTTGTACCAAGATGAGTTGTGTAACCCACCTAGTGTGTTGTTTTTTATTTCCTCCTCTTTTCTCACGCTTAAATGTAAAATAAGCATTATTCTGTAGGAACCAGGCAAAGGCTAATTTGCCTCATTTGCATGTGAAAAGGAGCCCACATCCTTCCTGTGCCCTGCAAAGAATGCGAAAAGACTTTACAGAAAAAACAGATGTACTAATATGTATCACTTGTGGGGAGGAGGGGGAATCCAGGGTGATGCGATTAAACTAATGCTGAACTTGCAAGAAAACAAAAGCACCAACATGCAAAATACAGTGCTGGGAAGTTGAGAAAGTTGGGACTGTTCTCTTTCACTTACATTTATGCTTCTGGCATCCGAAAAGCTGGTTTGAAGAGTAGGTACAAAAGGAAATGTGTAGCGTCATTTTTCACGCTCAAGAAAACCTACATTGAAGATGCTGTAAGTGCTTCGTGTTAGCTTGCTTGAATGCAAACAAAAAGCAGAAGCTCCAGCATACCCTTAGAGAAGTTTTCTGAATTTCAGGGACAATATTACCTAGCCAAAAGAGTTTGCTACTCACATCATACACAAGACAAACCGTTTTTTAAGTATCCATGATTTTATTTATATTTTGAACTCCCTACCGATAACACTTAAATACAAAAGACTTAGTGCTGCCAGCTCTCCAAAAATACAGTGTACAGTGGGGAGGGTTTCAGTGGTTTCGGAGAGCATAGAAGATGGAGAACAAATGAATTCTGGATGTTATTTCTACATCTATGCAATCAAGTTCAAAACTTTGTCCTTTCCTGACTCTTCTGTCTCTCCCTTTTCATGAACTTTGCTAATGAGCAGTCAGCACTGATCCATCAGCTTGCAAATCTGCTGCTGCTCAGACTCCTGAAATTCACTACTCTGCGTGATGCAGATTTGGCCTAGAAGCAGTATAATCTCTTGCTAGCTTTTACCTTGCAGACCGGAGACAGTTGCATGTGGCCGTTTATTGTTTATGTGCATTGACTGTCCGAATAATAAATGGATTAAGAGAATACTTGAAAGTTACTTTTAAAAAGCTACCTCAGACTTCCTAAATTAAAAGCTAGAAGTGAAGTGTAACAGTCGGTCGTGTTTCTTTTTTTCAGCAGTGCTCTTTGGGTAACATCTTGGGTGGGTGCAGTGCTTCAGGCAGGCTATACGCTGTTCTCCGTAGATGCAGCATGACTCACATTTTCTTGCTATCTGGAACGCTGAGGCTCTGGACCATGGCAAAACTCCCCAGAATTCATGCTTTCTGCTTCTGAAATTGATACAGTTTGCATATTCAGAAAGTGTTCTTAATTCACAGGAATTTAAAAACTCTAGCTCTGACACCAAAAATTATCACGTATGGATATGAAAAGCTCAGTAGCCTTGAAAAGAGGGATTTTAAGCCCACTTACCTAAATCACTTACGCAAATGTGAATGAAGTACAGTAGTTTGAGATGTTTGGATTGCAGTTTAGCTGCAGGCTTGTTTTGTAGAATCAGGGTAAATTGAATCTTGGCCTTGAACTAATATCTGTGTTTTGGAACAAACATCTCAATGCAGCACACTGCAGAAGGAAGGAAGTAGAATAGAAATTAGATCACTTTTCCTTTCCTGCATTATTTCTTGTAAGCGTGGTCTTACATATGGAATAAACATTTCCTGTTGTAAAAATATGGTAAGAGTCTGCATTTGCCAAACAACTGATAACCTACTATCGCTGAAAACTGGAAGTCATGTTAGACTAGCGTGTTTAGGGAGAAGTGTTCAAAGCATGCAGACGATCAGATCTGGTGCTCATCTTGCTCTGAAAAAACAGTGAGCGTAAGCTGTCTAATAACTGCTGTGATTGTCGTAACAACTGTAGCTTTGCAGTAACGAAAAAATGATGAACCTTGACTCTTCATATAAACAGCAGTGTAATGATAAGGGTGCACTCAGTTCTTGCTTTTTGATTTGTATCATCTGTGTAATTAGCCAAAATCAGATGGGTATCTTATCCTCTTTATTTCACTTGCTTTAATCCTATATTGCCGATGCTTTATTTATCTGTCTACAGTAATACCGGTTAGTAACTCCATTCCACAAGTTGTTTTACAGCACCGTTGAGTCCTAGCTCTGCTAACTGCACTGTCACTATACTGTGATAGCAGCTGTATAGGTTGGAAGCCAATTTAGTACTAGTAAACTTTTGATTTGGTTAAAACCCTCTTCTCATTAGTATTAGAACAATGTTTCAACCATGCTTCTGCTGAGATGCTAAAATCTTAGAAAAAATGCTTTCAAAATATAATAAGAGAACATGAGAAATTCAATGAATTTCTTTGGATGCTAAGTCTTATTCATGATCAGCCTTTGTCCTCTGACTCTCTAGAGCAGCATTTCCAAAGCTGTCTTCTGGAAGGTTACACAAGGATCAGGACACCAGACACTGCAGTGACTGAAGTGTTGAATGATTTCTGATGGCTTGTTGTTGTAAGACCCTTATTCCCTGAACATCAAAACACTTACCCAGGTCCTAGCATAGCTGAAAAGGCCGTGCAGCCTCTACCGGTTTGATGATCAGCCAAACTGTGGACCACGTTTTGGAAATAGGTCAAGTAAAGGGTGGGAGATGGTGGGATGATGGATGGTGGAGATGATGAAGAACAAAGGGCTATTTTTGTCTTACACAGGGGTGACTTGATATTCTGGATCAGGTAGTTTCAGTAACTGTAACACATGATCAGTCATCTTTCAGAGACCCTGCTTCTTACGGACACTGAAAATAGTAGTGTCTGTCTGTCACTTTATCGTGGTCAGATAACAGATGCAGACTTTTATTGCGGTAGAGTGACCCACACAAGTAGTTGCAGTAAAGGGAAGTGAGAATAAGTTTCTTCACAGGACTTTCTCTCCTTGGAAGCACTCTAGTTACACAGAAGGAGGGAGCTTTGGGGATCTCATCTGGCTATTGCATGACACCATTACAGACAGTCTGTCTACAGGGACTGATGAGGAGCTGAAGGAAAGGGAGAACATTCCTGCAGGACAGGAGGAGGCCTTTCAGAGGAAAGGAGGTAAAAGAGGGAGGAGTGAATCAGGATTTTTAGTTTGGGATTTGTTTGCTTCCATCTTAGTGTTGACAGACCAGCCATTTTCAGCCTTTGTACGGTTCCCCAGGAGTTCTGAAAAACTGTACCATTATTCTGTGTTTTTTCTCTTCTCCTTTTATACAGAAGTTATTTCGGGAGCAACTGTGACCAGTTAGAGAAGAAAATCTTTAGTTTACTCTTCTATTCTCAAGGTAGTCATCATGGCTTCCTTGATTTGGTTTCCTACCAGAATTCACCTTTCCCTTGGAAAATTTTCCCAGCTTCTATTCGTGCAGTCCACATGCAGAAGAATAAAGAGTTGCCTTGATGTTCCTTGAGTTGGCATCAAACTGTGCAGCTTCAAGGTCTCTAAAGCTTAGGTATTTAAACGAGTGGCGAGACAGGAACGTTTCATTGTCTTGAAAGCAGACCCGTACAGTCCCTTACTTTTTAGAAGAGTGGGAGAGAAGGTTTGCTTTAAGGTGAGGGAACTATATTGGTAACTCTTTTGAGTTTACTATAGCCATAAAGGTCTGAATTATGCTGTTCCTGAGGTTTGAGATTAATATCCTATATGGAACAGATGTTTCATGTGTGCTATACAGAAAGAGCCAATTATATATGAGTCAAATGTAAATCTAAGTTATAAAGCTAATGCAACGTATATATCCAAATGATGATGGTGAAGCGTTTGTCTTAGTTTTTCCTTTCTTAGACAACATATATTAGTTTTGCTGCTGAGAGGTATGTGTTTGTTTGGCCAGGTTTCAGGTGGCGCTCTATTTTCTCTTATTGTTTACTTCAACGAGGAACGGAGATTTGGTAAAACCCTTTTCTAGTCTCTGCATCAGCACATTCGATCTGCCTGCGTCCAAAAGAATTATGTCAAAACAATTGCCTGCATTTGTTTCTTAGCATGTTCTCGAGCAGCTCTGTCGCTTGAGGGCCAAACTGGAATACATTAAACTGGAATTGGGGCAGAAACTGCAGCCAGCCTCACGTCAATGATGCCTCTTGAGATTTGCAAAAGTGACACTTCTGGGGTTCATTGCATTAACTTCCATAGCATTTCTGAGTCTGGTCTGGGTGAATTACAGTGGCGGATGGTTAGGCTCACATACTCCCATTTAATTATTTCTGTATGTGTCTGGAGTGAAAGGAAAAGCTTAACTTCTGGCTCATTTTGTAATATTTCAAAAGTGTTTTTTTTAATCCATATTTTAAATTTATTTGCTTTTATGTTGTTTCTGTATATTTATGTTTAGGAAGATTACCATGATTGCTTGGTCTTTTGAAATAAATTTGTGAATTCTAGCCTATATGATCTCTGGTACCTAAATGAAAACTAGTGCATCTTTTGACATAAGCAAAACCTTTAGCAGGCATAAAAAACACAACAGCACGCCTGCTAAGCAGGACAGCTTAGCACTGTAGGATGTAGCTGGGTTGTGCCAGAGAATGGAGGAGAAAAACGCATCCAGGAGGACAAAAAATACTAAGATATAAAATGCACAGTTCAAACCGTACTTTATCAAATCCTTATTCATCTTCCGTTAGGAGCTCTGAAACTTTGCTCTTGATCAGCTTTTACAAATGTTTTGTTCTTTTAGTAGAGTTGCCAGTCATACACTTTTGAGTCTCAAGATCTGTTGATAAGAATGCCAGGTACAGCAGAGACCATTTGTTGCTGATGTTTGTGCATGAACGCATGTGTGTATATGTGTGTGTGCGTGTGTGTGTGTGTATATATGCATATACCTACATGTATGTACATACACACACACACACCCCCCCCCAACAGCACTTGGACTGACTTTTTTCCTCCCTAAAATTTTCACAAGCTTTATCACTTTAGCTCACTCTGCAGTTTTGTAATGATCAGTTTGCCTGTGATGGGATGCTGCTTTTGATTCGAACCCAATAGTGAGTTTTTCCTGGCCTATGCTGTATTTTAGCAGGCATCGCTTGGTGAAAGTGACTAAAAGTGCCAAATGCACACTTTTTCCCCACCTGTTGAAAAGAAAACTATCTGTAGAATCACGATTAATTAAATATAATGAAGTGTTTGTGTGAAATAATGCCTTTTAAATCTTTGGAGTGGCATATGTGAACCAACACTGAGCTCAACTAATTGAGATTATTTTATCTATTTTATTTGCAGAATTTGCATTGCAGCATTCAGTCATAAGTGAATTCATTCCAGAAGCTTAACATGAGCTGATGCCAGCAACTGGCACAGATCAAACAGTCCCCAGTCCCCTTTGCCACTCCTACACATTGATGGGATTGATACTTTCTGGCCAAAAGCCCAGGTTAAGACGGACAGTGTGGACAAAAGCTGGTACTGTGTCCTCAAAAACCACTAAACTTAAATATTGGCAGGCTGTGGGATGAAGGAAATTCAGTAGCTGGGGCTCTGCACTGAGCACAGAGTCCTTAGCAGCCCACCTGCCAGAATGCAGCCTTGGGATGCAGAGCCAAGAGCTTTCTTGGCAGCCCCCGGTTCCCTCAGCAGGGTGAAGGGAAAGGAGAAGAAATGTGAATATCCTGCGTGACCTCGGAGGCGCCTGCTGGCTCAGTGCTCACGTCCACTTATCCCGTTTAAAGAGGCTAACTTATTTTCCTCAACGAGACAGTTAGTTCCTAAGTTTATCCTGAAAGGACGAGACTGGGAATGGAAATATCTATAACACAGGGAAGACTCCTTCTGTCAGCCTAACTCTTTTAGGCCACCTTTTGTGGCTTTGGGATCCTGGGACATGACTGTAAGTAGCAGACAGCAGATAAAGTGAACTGCTGAAAAAAGGGGAGCAGATACTCTCTCCTAGACAGAGCCTTCAGGAGCTTTCCAGCTCCTGAAGGTTGTTTCCTTGGCATCCCAATGTCAGGAGCTTTGTGCAGTGAGGTTTTGTGTGGAGCCAAGTGCTGGGAATTCAGAGACTACTGCCTTCAGGTTCTTTAGAAGATGGACAGCTGACTGTCATCAGTACTTAGATGTCACCTCAGCCCCAAAAGGCTGTTTCCTCTAAAGGCATCTTGTATGCCATGAGCAGGAAGGCTGTCAGAATTGCTACTACCTCCAGAGAGAAGTGGGTGTTTTTTAATGGGAATGCAAAACACTCAGACACTGTGATCGCTCATCTGAGCACCCACGTTATGCAGGCAATGGATCTTACCTGAAGGAACTCCTGCTTCATGCCTTATAACCTAGGCTAAATGGCGTGCATCCTTTTTAAATCAAGAATGGCTATCTTTCTAACTTTGCAGAGATGAGCAGTCAGTGCATCACAGCCTGTGGTGCAAACGGTTTCCCTAGTTAATTGGCTATAACTGATCACTGCTGGAAAAGCAGAACAAAATTGCCCATTTCCAGTTTGGATTGGAGTAGTTTCCACTTCTACTGAGTTTTCCACCTTTGCTAGATTAGCGCCCACTGTTACCAAGTTTGTTCCCTGTATGAATATGCCTAGACTGTGAGCAAAACAGCAAAATTTCCTTTAAGCTTTTTGTTTCTAATAAAGCCTTATGTTACTCAGTGTTTTCAGTCCTTTAATCTTTCTCCCCTGAACGTTCTTCAGTTTTTTCAACACCTTACTTGAAAAACGGAACAGCAGAACTTGATACATTATTCAAGTAGCAGATGAACAAGAGCCAAATATAGAGTTACTAAAAATTACCTACTCATCCTTTGATTTTCATTTGTTTTTACAGCTGAGGCTCGCATTAGCCCTTTTGGCCACAGCCTTGCATTGGGAATTCATGTTGAGCTGATTGTCTGCCAGGACCCCTGGTCTCATATTTGGTCTCTGCTTCAGAGGATAGAGTCCTCTCTCTCCCTCTCATCCTGTAAGTATGACCTGCATTCTTTATTTCTGTTACGGTTATTTTACACTTGGCCATATTAAGACTGAAACTGTTTGGTTGCTCCCATTTTTCTACAGGTCCCCGTTGCTCTGTGTCAGACTTATCCTTTTGTTATTGCTTTTTTGCTGTCCCCACTCTTGTATCTATCCACACTGACTTAACTTTAATCCGAGTTTCTGGTGAGACTGTTAAATAGCAAAGGAATGATCACCAGTTCCTGTGGGAACCCAACAGAAACACTTCTGTTTGCTAATAAATAGTTCCCTATTTACAGTTACACTGTGGCTCCCATAATTGATCGACTTTTTAACACATTTAATATGATTGTGGACTCAGATGTGACTTCAGTACAAAATATGTTTGAGTTTCTTGCCTGACCTCATACAGTGCTCTCCATGTATGGAGACTTACTGTCAGTGTATGGAGCACACTCCATATGGACTTCAAAGCATTCAGTTTCTTGATCAAGATGTTTAACAAACCCAGTCGAATGACTTAGATTTGTAATACTATCAACAACACTGCCTTCATCAAGTAAACTTGTAATTTTAGCAAGAAGTAACATCATATTAGTTTTACACAGTCTATTTTCCTTGAAGCCAGGTTGATTGACTTTAATTACAGAGCCTTCTTTTAAGCTTTTATTAACTGAATCCTGTGTTGGCTGTTCTGTCCTATGCAAAAGACTGGAAACTCAACCAACTAGCCTGTAATTACTTTTTACCCTTCTTCAACGCTGGTACAGCGTTAGCCTTCCTCATGTCCGTAGAACTTCCCCAGTGGCCCAGAAATGCTTTAGAAGCAGCAGTAGTAACCCAGAAGCTAGTTCTTTAAAAAATTCTGAGGCAAGTTTACTTGTACCAGCTGATTTGAAATACCTGGAGTCTTGTATCTGACTCTTGATGTCCTCTGTAGGTACTACCGGAGTGGCAAGTTATTTCATCATCATCATAAATAGATCATCTGGCTTCTTACCTGCAGGCTACTCAGGAATATTTACTAAATAACTTGCCACGCCTCCGCTGTGTTATTGTGAATGATTGAACCACTTTCATTGTTTAGAATTTGTCTTAATCTGCTTAGAAGAATAAAAAAAAGACATGTCTTGCTCTACTTGCCTTACTTTTTCCTAGTATCTTCTTGCTTCGTTGTTATCTTTTCCTTTTTTCCCCTTCATGTGCTGGTTTTACATGTAACAGTTTATATCTTTTTTCACTTCCCTACTAAACCCAGCTGTTGGTTCTTTGGTTGCATGTTATTTTTAACTAGCCTAGTCTTCTTTTCTCGTTTGTAACGACGTTTAGCAAACATCTTAAACCATTCCCAAATATCAGCAACTTTCTTTTCTTTCTTTCTTCCATCTGATTTGACTCCCATTTATTTTAGTTTCAAGAATGCCTCTCAGAAATCATGCACTCTGTTTTTAATTTATGGAGAGATGAAGTATGTGTTCCTATAGTGTGTAAAATTTTACTAGAGTAGATTTTAATGCAATGTACAGATTTTATTTGTACTTAAAGGGTCAGTCCTTTCCAGTCTAAACAACCAGTAACCTTCTGGGTTTGTGATCATTTCCTCTCTGCTAAGCCAAGATCTAGAGCAGGGGTTGTCTGGCTCCTCTGTTAAACCACATGCGACTTGCAGGCAATTCAGGTGTAACTACATCATATGACTAGCAGTAAGCTGTACTTATGCCAGCACTGCAGCTCCTGAGTGTCACTGTTCTCTGGCTGTGGGAGGGAGCAAGTGAACAGATCCTGCTGTGATTGAGATGGCAGAGTGACCATGATACTTGTTTTATATAGGTATTGAAGAAGCCAGTCATCCTATCCTCTGATGCGTTTCCAGTGGTCTATAACAGATGCCAATACCTCATCTTAGGTGTATCTTGATTCGTTACTATCCAAGCTGACTTACATCCTAAGTTGTCAGTCACTCAAACAGATGTCATTTGTAGCATAGAGTCCCTGTCAATTCCCCTCTTCCTTTTGTGCTTCTTAAATTGGTTTTAACTATTTCTCTTAATAATCCAATAATATGAATCTACCTATTAGTTTTAAGGTATATTAACGTGAATTGCTGCTGTGCAGACACATGGTTTATCCATTTTTTCAGTTTACCTTTCAGATGCTCATAATTAACATACTGGCAACAGAAAAAGGTCTCATCGTCTTACAGCCTCTGTTTTGTTTAATTTTGTGCTTGCTTTCAGGTTTTTGTGCTAGATATGCTTTTGGTTGCTTATTTAATCTGGCTTGTCTAGCCAGCCTGGCTTGTAGAGTGTGTATTATTTTTCTATTGAGAGGGGACATCCTCTTTACAATACCCTCTCCCCATAGGCAGTAGACCATGGTCCACAAATCTGACAGCTGAACCCTGTGCTATTCAGCTAGTTAACTTCTGCAGTCTTCACTTTTCTGTCTTTTTGTGCCAGGGAGCAGGGAGGAACTCCAGACAGGATCTCCAGATCTCCTGAGTTACCTACACTTGTGTAATCTCTGAGGTGTATCACAAAGTAGTCTCCTTCAGCGAAACCCTGCCTGTCAGCTCCAGATTATTCTCCAATTCTGCACTTCTCTTTTGTGTCTTAAATCCAAAGAAACAGCACAAACTTCTCTTGTCTGCCTCTTCCTCATGCAGTGCTTTTTTCATTCTCCTGATGATTGGAGCTGTTTTTGTGGGCGCTCTGGGTCAGTACTTTACAGCTGCTCATGCTCGAAGGATCAGTCAAACTGGGGAAGACATATACAGCAAGTGTGAGGGGGAACACAAGTACCATGTGCAAAATGTTGCCACAGTGTCTTGTGGATGTGCGTTTGCTTGCTCATATGCGTGCTGTGGGCTTGTGGACCGCCTGATGATTTGTGGTCCCTGGATCACACAGGTCAAGGAACACTGTTGTAGGTAGTCCTCCCTGCTAGATTAAGCAAATGTTCACCTGAGCAAACATCCACCCTCTGTTCTGTGTGACTAACAGGATCTTCAGGTGTGTTTTTAGCATCTTTGCAGATGTTTCTTCATTCACAGACCGTATTTAAAGGGCAGTTTCTTCTCTTAAGCATATGAACCTTGAGCAATAAAGAGAAGGCAGGAGAAATAAAGACATCACACTTCCTCTGGCTTGAGGGGAGGGACTGTAGAAAGTGTTTGCGTCTGCTGTTTTTGTCACTCATTGAGTCATAGAAAACCTACCCGAAAGAGGTTCATCCATCCTCCTGACCAAAGGCAGTACCATTCCTGGTAGATACCTCTCTAGCCTTCACATTGTCTTAGGCAATCTAGTCTAGTTTTTTTGCTGACCTTACCACTGGAAAGGATTTTTTTTTTTACTGACATCTGACCAAATTATCCGCAGCTGCCATTTAATCCATTACTTCAGTGTGACTTTCTTCTTGGAACATTAAGGATTATCTTCTAAAGCTACAATGACCAGATTGTAGTAGCTTTAAGCTGAAGAACTGGGTTCTGACCTGCAGCTGAGAGTTGCTACGCATGAGCATCCCCTGCAGATCATTCCCTGAGCAGTGCATGTAACAAACTCAGGTTCATGATGAAGTCAAGTTAACCCATCATTTTCTCTTGTACTTGCCCTCAGACATATGCAAAGAACTTAAAAATAGATTACCCTATGCTTAGTGAACAGATGCTAAAAATGAGGTGTTTTGCTCAATCTATTCAGTCCTTATGTGGAAAGCTGGGGTAACATTCTCTAGCTCTAGAATACATTTTTCTTGGTCCTTAGCTAGCATCAAATCCCTTTTTAAGCCCCATGTGGCAGGGTCTTTCTCTCTTCCTCCTTCCCTCCTAATTTCTCCCGCTGTCACCCCTTCTCTAAAGTCTGAGTCCCATTTCTTGAAGCACGTCTGGTGTTCTCCCTGTATTTCTTGTTGTTGGATCATTCTCCTCCTAGGAGTGATTCGAGAGGTGTAACCACCTACCAGTCAGGGCAGACTGTGGGATTAATCATCAAAAATGAAAACTCATCAGGCCTGCAGCCCTGTATATTGATAAATATGCTACTAGTGAGACCTATTTTCTGTGCAAATATAGGCAGAGCTGTAACATCTGACCGTTACTGACACAGTCCACCTTCAACGCTGTGGTTGTTCACTGGCCTTTGTCACCATGTCACCCCATCTTGTTTGGGGTCTTTACCTGTAAGCATCTCTGCGGTTTTAGCTAAAGCCAATTGCAGTTATGGTGAGAAGTTATGAAAAATTTCTTTGTGAACAGGCCACAGACAAATTTTTGCTCCTTTTTAGGAAGGAGATTATTTTTTCTCCAAAATAACTTGGCAAATACTGAATTTAAGTAGCACTTTTTAAAATATCAGCACTCATGGCATAGATGGGATGAGATCCCCTTTTGGAGGACCCTTCTTCAGGGAACAGAATCCTGAATAGTCTCAAAGTAAATCGTCATCTTATTTGAGACTCAGCTTGCTCCTATTTCCTTGCTGACACGTGCTCTGACTTCTTCAGAAATCAGACAAGGCTGAGAAGATGTTAGTTTTGCTTGTGCACAAGCAACGGTGAGGGGGATGCTAGGGGAGAGGAGCAATATATTTTGAGGGAAGATCTTTCTGTCCGCCTCATATATTCCAAAGAAGCAAACAGGCAAAACTTCTTTACCTCTCCCCTTCCCTATTCCTCCTTCCTTCCCTGCCCTTCTCAATTCACATTTCGCATTCTCCTCTGTGTAGATCCCATGCTGTGAATCAGATGAATACCCATTAATCCTGGGTAGAGTCTAAAAATAAGAATTGAGAGGAAAAAATCAGAACAGTGCCAATCAACCTGCAATCATCTTTCTGTTCTCTTACGGGGGAAAAAGAAAGAGGAAATCAGTTGGGACACTGTTTCACTTCTTCTCTTTCCAGGATAAAATGACTCTGCCATTTGCAGCAGTTGTTCTTTTGATACAGGTTTTCTAATTTATATACTTAAAAGGCACATTAAAAGTTAGGAGCATTAGCTCAAAAT